ACTGAGTGGTTCAAAGAAGCAGGTCTGCCACTGTCACATGTAGTTCCTCCACAGGTGATAACAATTTGCCAGAAGCTATCTGGTATGTATTCATTAACATGGAACTCTATTCTTCTGCATCAGTGACATTGACCAACAGTTATGCAGCTGGGAAAGCAAGATACTGTAACTTCACACAGTCTTCTTGCTATGTAAGAAGCCTGAGTGGCTGCTTTGTAGACATTTTTGCACAACCATGTCCTGTGAGTTCCAGGATGAAGCAAGAGAAAAAGTCCTCCTTTAACAATGCAACAGCATGAATATGAAACTGAGGGCTGAGGGCTGTATGCATTCTGGAAGAAAATTCAGACTTCTGGTGCTTCTTCCACACTTAGCTTTTTAAAGCTTTAGTTCCAAAACTGTAGGACAGGTGGAGAAGCTCTGGAAAGAGAGCATTGTTTCATGAGCCCTGGAACAGGCCCTACCATGACATAGAGTACCCCTCCAGATGAGTGTTTTGGAGTTGTTGTTTTTCCAAGGGTATCCTTAGGAAACATTAGGAAGAACTTCCTGACAGTAAGAGCTGTTCGACAGTGGAATTTGCTGCCAAGGAGTGTGGTGGAGTCTCCTTCTTTGGAGGTCTTTAAGCAGAGGCTTGACAACCATATGTCAGGAGTGCTCTGATGGTGTTTCCTGCTTGGCAGGGGGTTGGACTCGATGGCCCTTGTGGTCTCTTCCAACTCTATGATTCTATGATCCTGTACCTGTTCTTCACACAATAATAGTGTATTAGTGGTGGATTTATCAGCTGTTCTGAGATGCTTCCTCAGTGTTAACACATTATTGCTGTCTGCATGGCCTACAGAACAGCAAAGGTGGGACAAAAATAAACCAGAACATTTGTGGTAAAAACATTGTGTGCTTTCAGCAAGAAGTTCTGAGATATACATTGATTGGAAGTGAAGCAGTGTGACCACTCCAAAACATTTTGCAGGAGCAAACAGTATTAGAAGCAGGATTGCAGGATTCGAAGTAGGATTGCACGTGACCACCCTAATGGCATTGTGAGTGCAAATAATCATGAAGTGCAATAAAAAGGATGTGTGGAGGGGCCCCAAAGTGTAGCAGCCACCTCTGGTGGCAAATGTAGAGTGGTGGGGAATAGACAGAGCTGTGTGTGTCACGTGGCCTCCTCTGTACCTCCTAAACTGGCCCTCTGGTGTGATGGGGGACACTGCCCTCTTTCATTGTCAATGGAAGATCCATCTGGCAGTCTGGCCAACTTTTGCATGTGCAATGGGCGGGGGGTGTCACATCCTTTCCTTCATGGTCTAGGGGCAGCCCCGATGCACCCCTTCCCCTCAAGCGGTGGAAAGTTCAGAGCAAACTTTGCATGGTCAGCTTAGAATCGAACTAGACATGACACCACAGACTTGGCTATTCAGATATCTAAAGCAGAAGTCGGTGTGGGGTTGACTTTTTAGGACCAAAGGAGTGGATGGTTAAGGGACAGATGAATGGTCCCTGTATTTTACACTTTCCTCCCTGTAGCCTCTCCTCATAAATGTTTTTCTTCTAGCCATGCTCGCTTTTGGTATATTGCAGCTCAGCTGAGAACAGAATGCAAAGGAGTAAGCTGTGGGTGGGTACAAAATTAGCATGCCTTACCAGTGCGCCTTTTTTGCTGTAAAAACCAGATCCTCCAAATTTAAGCATATTTAAAGAAGACCAGGCTTCTTCAACCTCGGCCCTCCAGATGTTTTGAGACTAAAATTCCCATCATCCCTGACCACTGGTCCTGCAAGCTACGGATCATGGGAGTTGTAGGCCAAAAACATCTGGAGGACCGAGGTTGAGGAAGCCTAGTTTAAACAAATGAAATAGCCACTGTCACACTTGGCTTGGAGGACATTGCTCTGGAGAATTCAGACTTGCATTCAGATATGATGCCATGACACGCTTTGTTTTATGCCCTAACATGTCAGCTCATGGCTCAGGACCGCAGCACCGCAAGGACTGCCTCTCCCCATATAAACTGACCCAGACTCTCTGTTCACCTTCTGAGGCCCTTCTTCATGTGCCTCTTCCACAAAAGGTTGAGAGGGTGGCAACATGAGCACGGGCCTTTTCTGCATTGGCTCCCTGTTTGTGGAATGCTCTCCCCAGGGAGTTTTGTCTGGCGCCTTCATTATATATCTTTAGGCACCAGGTGAAAACATTCCTTGCTGATTAATATTTACAGCCTTTTAAATGAATGTGTTTTTGGGAGGGGGAGTAGTGTTTTGTTGTTTTCATTTTAACTATTTATTTGTGCTTTTACCTTGTATTTTTATCTTGTGAATCACCCTGAGATCTTATCATGAATGGTGGTATAACAACAGCAGCAGCAGCAGCAGCAGCAACAACAACAACCATTGACAATTCACAGTTATGGCCACTGGTCTGTTTCAAGAGGTTGCTGTGCCATGAAGATGATGTGAATTTAGGAATGTATGTATAGCTAAGTGTTAAGCAGGTGGAAAATGAAACCAACCAAATAGCTCTAAACTATGGTTTGACTACTATACGTCTGGGAGATCCACCCGTGGTGCTGGCTCTTGCCTATGGTTAGCACAAACTGATCTGACATGTCTAATTACCAAGAGGTCTGTTTATTTACAAATGAACAGAATAAGTAGAGATAATGAGACTCCAGAGGGACAGACAGAGATAGGCAGCAGTAGTTCCAAAGCAAAAATTGCTTCTCCCCCAAAATCTCTTAATAGCTCTGCCAGCCTGAGCAAAGATTGGTTTCAGCTGCCACCTTGGGCAAGTGACTCATATTTCAGATGCTTATGGAAGGTGCAGTCTGTTGTAGTTATGAGACCTCACCAGGAATGAAAGCGGGCATTGATCCATCCATCAAGACAGCATGGATCACAGAAGCATTATGTGACCTACTAGGAGACTTGTAGGTTTACCATGAAATATACTGATGAAGCAGCTCATTCTGGCTTTCCAGTGTGATTTCTACATGATATGCAGGTGGAGAGTGGTGCTAACAGAGGATTAAGTTATATGAAATATGGGAATGAATGCAAAGAATGGGTGAATCTGTTTCCTCCTCTTGCTCTCCTCTTTCCTCTCCCCACCCTTTCGAGCACTTTAAACTACAGAACACAACTGAACATGGAGTTGCTAACCGAGCTGACAGCAGTAGGAATCATGGTTTATAAAAAGCTACTAGCACTGCTGAGCTGGTGAAGAGAAAAGAGGAAGTGACAACCAAGGCAAATGAAAAGGAAAAAAAAAACCCCAACATATTGCCTTTAAATAGCCCTGATTCTGAGTTGTTTTTTCTTTGGACTCTGAAGGACATAGAGGTGCCAGGTTGCCCCCAGGATTGAGAGGGCCCAGCATGCCTTGCATGTGTGTGACATCACACACGCCTCCCAAGACCGCACAGGTTGGTGCAGCCTTCTGCTAGGCCGCACTAGTCTCCATGTCATCTCCCAACATGTGACATCACATCCTCAACATTGAGGGGGCCAGGGCCCCTTCAAACAAATATCAAGGGGGCCAAAGATACCTCGGCTTCCTAGAGTTGGCAAGCCTGGGAGGACCACAATAACCCTTCAGAATTTATTATCACCCTGCCTTGTTGTTTCATGCACTGCAGTGATTCCTATCCCACCTTAGACAGTAATAGAGTACTGTGAATGACTGTGTGGCTCTGTGCTTGTTCTTAAGACACAAAACCTGTGCTACTGGCAGAGGTGCCAACTTGAATAAAATATTGGGGGCGCGGTAAGCCCCGCCCCGCATAATCGATCACAAGACGCAGCACAAACACACCATTTGAATGACAATGCCCATCAACCTTGGAGCGGGCCGGCTCCCTCAAATATTTTATTGGGGAGAGTTGGCCCCTATGGCTACTGGTTGATTATGAACACAATGCTACTAATGTATGTCAGGTGTTCCTTAGAGTTCTCTGCGCTGCCACAGGAAGTTGTAGGGTGTTCACCTCCATTTGTGTGGGGAAATTCAGCCTCCATCTGCCTCGGTATCTCTCATCTTGGCCACTTTTCACCCTCCCGCCTAACTCTTTCCTCACTCACCCACCTTTATCATACCATGTTTTGCCTTCTAACAACGCAGGAGGGAAAGCTAAGTTAGATGAAGAGTGCTTCTGGTTTGCTTTAGTGAATGAGGTGAGGAGAAAGTGGAACGCCTGAGTTGCACCAACAGGAAACTGGAGGCTTCTCTTTCTTTGTTTTCTGAACAGTCAGGAAGGGCCCATGATAGAATTTCAAAACACAGGTGGGCATTCAGCCATACTAGATACACCATAAAGTTTTGTGTGTGTGTGTGTGTGTGTGTGTGTGTGTTTTTTTTAAAGTAAAAAGGGTGAGGGGGAACGTTCAAAGCATTTCACATATTGTTACCACAGGGCCAAACTAAAAGTCACTCTGAATAGCATGTAGCTTTCCCCAAGGTTTATATCCAAAACTGTATTTTATACTGTGGAGACTGTAATCTGATCAGAAGATTGGCATGGATGGAGAGGGTCTTCTTAATCCTTTCCTCTTGGGCCAAAAATAATTCTTCTCAGGCTGCCTCCACTGGCCTGTCTGCTGGGGAAAAGACAGATGAATCTGCACCAAATGCCTTCTGCCCATCCTCTGTTATAAATATGTGCTTATGTGATCAGGTGCATATGTTTCTGTCTATTTTTAATTACTGTTAATTGCCATGGGCCTTTGGGACAGAGGCGTGAGGGTGGACTACAGAACTGAATAAATAAATGTGACAAGGGCAGAACAGTAGCCTATCTTTTCCCTGTTAGCCTGAAAATAAGCCCAAGCATGTGTCACTGTAGCAATGAGATGTTGCTTCCTTGTTTACCTCTGTTTTCGCTTCCTTGCTCTTTTCCTCTTGGATGCACTGTATTCATTTTATTTTATTTTATTTTAAGCTCTTAGGACAGGGACCTGTCTTATTCTTATTCTTCGTCTCCTTCTCCTCCTCCTCCTCCTCCTCCTCTCTCTCTCTGTCTGTCTCTCTCTCTCTCTCTGTGTGTGTGTGTGTGTGTGTGTGTGTGTGAGAGAGAGAGAGAGAGAGAGAGAGAGAGAGAGAGAGAGCTATCTAGTTCCAGCAGTCCTGTTGGTTTGCAACTGAGAAATAGCCTTTTGGGTTAACCTTTAATTTATGCTTTATCCATCAATAAGTCCTGTTCGGGTTTTTGGGGTTGAGTGGCAACAGGTGGTACTGGAAACTCCAAAGGAACTAAGATTTTAATCATAGTTGCAGCCACATGCATTCACATGAATATGTGTTTGTCTTGCTCCTTCCAGTGGGTGAAGATATCCCCTTAATATTCTGGTAGGTGCATTTACAGCTCAAGACAGAATGTATATCTGGTTGATTTAGCCACAGTCATCATTGCCCTACTCATCTTTGATATTGGAAAGTGAGGCTCTGCACCTTCTGAATTCCAACTTTGGATTTTTTTGTGAGGATGATGGTGGTGATTCATTGTTCCCATCTTGACTCTCACAAGGCAATCATGCAGTTGTCCTGGTTTCAAAATCATCAGCCCCGCCAGCTCGTCTCCATCAGTCTTGAGAAAACAGGAAGCACCACCACCACAGGAAGCAGTGGGCTCTTACACCCTCCCAGTGAACTGAGCTGCAGAACCTGTTGCAAAATGTTAACAGAACACTTGGTGAGCTCCAGAGGGAAAGCAATGAGAAATCTGCTGACCCATCAGCCTCTGTGCAATTCCGGGCATCAACTCCTCAGACCCATAATAATCTATGTGGTCAGATTGTTGTCACTTGAATAAGCTTCATTGGGTTGTTTTGCTTCTTAATTAACAAAGCTCAGGCTGTTCGCTTGTGAATTATTGCATTTAGCCAGTATATACATTTTGACTTAATTAAAATGATATTTCAGAATTTTCACCATGTTTCTAGTTCCACTATGGTGTAAAGAGCATCGCTTTAGAAAATGATTGCTCTCCTGCTTGCTGTGTATTATTGATTATTATTTATTAAATGTGTATGCCACCCTTCATCCGTAGATCTCAGGGTGGTTCACAACATAAAAATGCAAGAAAGAAAGCACATAATAAAAACAAGAACAAGAACAAAAGAACAGGTACATTTCACCTGGACATGAGAAAAGCTCTGCTGGATCAGTCCAATGGCCTGTCCAGTACAGCTTTCTCCCATTTCTCACAGTAGCCAAACTGGTGCCCATAGGATGAGGTAGGGCATGAGCACAATGGCCCTCCCTCTCTTGATATTTGCTACCGTCCTCCAGCAGCTGGTATTCTGAGGCATGATGCCTCTGATCATAGAGATTGTGTGCAGCCATCTATGATCACTCATAGCCACTGGTAGCCTTTCCTTCTGTGGATTTGTCTAATCCCCTTTTAAAGCTGTCCACGTTGGCAGCAATTGCTACATGTTGTGGTAGTGAATTCCATCATTTAACTAAGCACTTGGGGGGATGGGAATGCTTCTTTTTGCCTGTCCTGAATCTGGCATTCGACTTCCTTGGATGACACGAGGTATTATGAAAGAGGAAAAACTACTCCATGTGCATTTTCTCCACACTGTGCACACCAAGCTAAACTCACCTTTTCTCTAAGCTAAAAAGCCTTTCCTCACTGGTGAGTTGCTCTAGCCCCTTGATCATTTTAACTGCCATTTTCTACACCTTTCCCAATGCTACAATATCCTCCTTGACCAGGGTGGCAGACCTTTTTGGCTCCGTGGCTCTGATTATTTTCAGGACTGCCTCACAGGTCAAATTTTGACAGGTGGAACTCTGTTCATTGGACCTGGTATCAATACAATTGTAAAGTTATCACCAATTGTTCTCCATTCTTCATTTTTATGCCTGTCTTGTATTGTCAATAAAGGCATGGGATGGTAGTCAAGTGAATTTTACTCAGAGTAGACCCACTGAAGTTAATGGACCTAACTTAGTCCTGGTCATAAATTTCAGTGGCTCTACTCTGAGTAAAACATATTTGAACACCACATATAGTTTTTGGGTTCTGTATAATTTCTTATAGCCTGTTTTTTGTTTTTACTCATAGTAAGGCTGCATTGTCATTCTTTTTTGTTCCAAAGAGTCCATCCTTCATTAGGATGTGAATAATAAAAGAACACTCAGTTGTTAATTACCCAACAGCATATTGTGTTATATTCAAAACCAAAATGATGTCATCTTTTGTTTGGAGAACTACTGGCCCAAACGGTAACCAGGACAACAGAAACAAAAGTGATAAGAAAGAAGATTTTATCTTTGTGTATAGTAATTTTACTAAGGTAACCATCAAAAGGCATTTAAAACAATTAAATCAATCAATCAGTACAGGAGAATCGTTGCAGAATGCGGTGAATAGTGTTGGAAAAGCAATTATATTCATGTAGGTGGAGTGAGAAAAGATACGAAATGGGGAGTGGAGGAAGGAAAACCTTGAAAATGTGCAGGGGTGGTGGAAAGGTAAAAAGAAAAAAGTATGTGGAATTTGGGTGGATAGAATGCTGTTCATCATCACATCCAGGTTCCATCCGTAAAAGGAGATGCACTGCAGCTGCTCCTGACAACAGCAGAGAAATACTGACAGTCAGAGAAGTGGGAAGAAGGAGAGGACTTTGCAACACCTGCCATCAGTCCCCTAAGCCCTCCTACTGCTTATGCTGATTGCACCACCCCTGGCACCTGAGAGGAGGAAAGTGTGCTCTGGGACGCTGGGAATTCTAGCTCTGTGAGGGCTAAACTACCATTCACAGGGTTCTTTGGGCGAAGCCATGTGCTTTAAATGTCTTGAAGGAAGATGGGTGAGATTGTGTTCAACAAATGAGAAGATGCCCTCTGAGGAAAAAGGTGATTGTTGGGAATGGCTTCTAGTCATCATTCTTTAGCCAGGCTCTTGTTTACAGTTGAGAAGGATTTATGACAACTCTTGGGAGGCTTTTTATTCTGTGCCCTGCTTCAGAATAAAATATCTTGCTTTCAAGTCTGCTCTGGGATAAGAGTGGGTTAGAAATTTTGTAAATAATAAATCAATTACAGAACAGAGACTGAATCAGTAATTCAGAATTACTTATTTTCTCTGCTGATCCACCTCATCAGGCTCTTACTAGAACGTGCTTTGGAAAGTTTTAATTATTATTTCCCCCCTTCTGTCAGTTAATTTGATCTGAAGCATCAGAAAGTTGCAACACAACATCTGTGGTACTGTGAAATTGCCAAATAGCATATGAGAGTCTTTCTGGTCATTGCTATTACAGTTCTGTTGTGAGGGAGGCCACATTTTTACAGCACACAAACTGCAGTATTGTGTGTGTGGGGGGGGGGAATGGGAGACATCCTTGCCAGCCAGCACATTCAATTTGTTCGTAAGTGCCACCTCAAACAAAATTTCATCACAATTATAAATTTCATTTCCACACTCCCATATAGGTCACACACTGTCACAGTGAAAATATGACTCCTGCTCTAGAGGATTCGTGGTTCCACAACTGAATTTTTCAGTGCCATTCCTGACAATATACGAGCAGGCCATTGTTACTTGACTGGCCTGCTTTGTTACAAGTGTGATCTCACCTCTCGCCCAGTCTAAAGGACCAGACCTCCTATTAATGACAGAGTTGACATAGGGCCAATCTGTTAGGCAGGGTAGAAAGGTGTGCTGGAAAAGAATAGAGAACTGTTTCCCTCTGAATATGTATACCAATTGATCTGTGCTAGTGGGTTTTTTTAACCGAAAGAAAGAAAGAAAGAAAGAAAGAAAGAAAGAAAGAAAGATGAAATGAAAGTGCTTTGATTGGACTCTTTAACTGAGAGACAACACCCATCCACTGACCCTACAGGGTCAAAGGGTGCTCCTCCCAGCCAAAGAAGGCATTCTAAACTATGATTAGGACAGGAAGGGACAAGCAGAGGAACAGTGTGGGCTAAAGACACTGATGTCTTGTGACTACATCCAATCCACTTCAAGCCAGCTGCATAGACGTGTTATAAGAATTTAAGGTCTCTAATATATAAATTGAAGATTCATAAATGTGCAAGGCAAACACGGACATAAATATATAAACCACATGTCTGAAACAGTACAGCAAGACAGTCCTGAAACCATTTTGACTCTCCCAAATTGACCTCAAATGTTTCTCTGCAAGGAGGAAGGAAATGGGAAAGCCTCCCCATTGTCTCTTCGCTCACAAATCCTGTCTTAACGGCGTATCTGTGTATGAATAGGGTGAGCCTGTGACCTGGATTCAGGAACTGAGTATTTACCATCACAAAAGAATGGCCAGGATGCCCTGGTAAAAGCAATCAGTGACCATTATCAGGTATCCTGGCAGATAGGATTCTGCTGCGGACTGCCTCTTCTGTGATGTATGTATGATGTATTGGGGGGTGGTCTTGAGCTACAGGGTGGCAATTTCAAAAGTCTATATAAGAGCTTGCACACCATTGTTCTGAGTTCCTCCTTCCTCCTGCGTGGTGGTGGGGGGGTGTGAGCACCCTCTTGCAACAGTTTAATAAAGATCAGGCTTACTAGCTGCTTTGCTTCTCAGTATTCTCTGGTTGGCTTCTGTTATTTTCTCCTACCAATAGAGAACCTACATAAGGACTCTATAGGCTCTTGGGTACCCTATAAGGGGAAAGGAGCAGTTTTTTCTTATAACAGACACATCTGTTGTATCATCCTCTCAGTGAAGAAAGCATAGTCTCTCATTTGGCTACATACTTTATTCTCTCTGACGCATCAGCAGACTTTGTGTTCTCTTATCCCTAGTTCTTTCACCTTGATAGCTTTTCACGGGGGGGGGGGGATCACAGAAAATTGTGATATTGTAAAGACTAATTGGTTTATTGAGGCACAGACCTTTACAGGTAAATGCCCTGAAAGGCAGGCTAGAAATCTGTGACAATAATAATACAGGGAAGCACCCACTATCAATTTTTTCATCAAACATTCTTCAATCCAAATGTATGTGTGAGACACGAACACCTCCTTGATATGGAAATCCATGCAACAAGAAATGTGAACCTTTAAGGTGTTGTCATTTTCTTTGTCTTTTTCTTGCGGTGGATTGACAGGACTGCTCCTC